AATGCGAAAATCCTTCAGGTGATGAAAGTGAGGGTGTGTGGGTGGGAGTGTGGGCGGGTGTGAGTGTGGGCGGGTGTAGGTGCGGTTGCGGATGTGTGGGTGTGCGGATACTGGCAGTTCTTTCTTCAAAAAGAACTAGAATGCTATGCAGAAAAAATGGTTTGATTTTCTATGTCGATGAACTATTTTTTTTCTGTTAGAGATCTGAAGTTTAACAATTTTCTCTTCTTTTGAATTTTGAATTGTGGCGCTACAGATAAAATAAAACTTAATTGTGAATGATTTGTTGGAAGATATAGTCATGAGTGAAAATTATGTTAAAGAAGAACGAACACCAACAACTTTAATGAATGAATGTGTATATATCCATTCTATGATTTTGCGTCCATTTGTATGTAAATTTAACGCCAAGTTTTTAAAACAAAGAATGAGTTCGAAATTAAACCATTGATGTAGTCTTCCTCATAATGAGTGAATCGAATACGTATATTGTGTCTTTGTTTTGTTTTAATTATGAAATATCTTTTAAGATAGTATTTCAAAAAAAAAGAGGCTATTATGCTAGTGGAAAAGTATACTAGGCATTTAAGGATTACAAAATACTTTCTGATTTTGAAATTTTTGATCTAGCAACTCTGGTTTGGGTGTGAATCGTCTCCTTTGTGGCACCCACACTCACGCCCGCACCTAATAAACTTACTGAAAGCATCTGAATTTGATGGCTTCGGTGTTACATAATTTTTATTCATAGATGATCCCAGTGGCTCATCATCATTATCGTCTATTTCAACTAAGTGTATGATGTGAGATCCTTGAGGATTATCCAATGCATTACTCTTCACACGTAATTGTGTACCAATGCCCAAAATGATTTCACCTTGATTTTCATATGCTGTATAACCAGACACATTTTTACCGTTCACAGCTTCAATTCGAAAAAGTGTTGTTTTCGCTGTGCTGCCAAGAAAATCCTTAATAACGTACACTGATGATGAACATGAGTTAACGCTCCACCATGTTACAATTTCTTCTTTTGTAAAATTGTTACCAATATCAACAGGCACACCTCGCCATATCACCTTTTTGACCGTCGGCAATTTCTCCAGGGCGGTGTGAAATAATTTCAAATACGAAAACCAAATTTTTAGCGATTCTCGATCCTCAGATCGTAATGCTCGATTTAATACGCGATAAAGACTGTTATCGCCCCATTCCATTGTGTAAATATACACAGACGCTGATTCATCACGCGTGAGGCCATGTTCTGAAGGATACAGACAGTGTTTTCTTGCCACTTGTATGTAATAAAGCAGTTGATCGATTTGAGGAACAATTGCTTCCAATGCTTCTCCGATAGAAACAAGTGCTTTGCTACGAAAACCATAAACTGCTGGGAGATTTTTGAATGTAAAATCGATATCACTATATCGATTCATATTGGCTGTTTTGTGTATGCTAAAAAATGTTCACGGATCGTCACAAGTCTAAGGTAGTTCATTAAAGTTCTGTGAATTCTTTCCGTGACGAAAATATTTTATTTGTGTTGATCCTTCTTTCTGTTCTTGCATTATAAAAAGCAGAGGATGTAGGTGTGTGTGTGATTCTTCTCATCGCGCACGCTCACCCTTAAACTTCCCCCCTCTCCCTCCATAGCCAAACCCACAACCTAGGTAAATGCGGGAATATGTAGCCCGAATTTTCTTTTTCGATTTCGAAACATTGAAATTCTGCCAGATTCTGATTCAAAATCAATGGGAATCTGTTCAGGATCCTCGTAGAATTCTACTTCGAATTCTGACAGCGTCTTGGAATTCCATTACTACAAACTCCTTTCAGGGTTTTGTCTTTTTCTGAGGAAAAAACGAATTCTGGGAGAATGCTGACTCGAGGCGTTAAGGATCTGGTACGGAAACGTCAAGGACTTTCGCTAGGGAACCCACAAACAGTCAGATTTTAACAAAAAACGTCAAGACAAATGAATGACGCTGTTTTCTTCAAAGAATATGGTCCAACCACGTTCATGCCACTACAGTGGAGTAAATAGAAGCTACTGTGGCAATCAAGATTGCCACCTCTTCTGCTTTTCGAGGATTTTTCTGCTTTTTTTCTGTCCTTTCTGCTTTTTCAGATATCCTATCTATTATATTTTTAAGCAATATGTGTTATATTGATACTACGTCTTTTTTTCGAAAATGTAAGGAAACATTCTTATTAATTTCTGGTGATATTTTGTCTGATGCTTATTTTAAGATAAGTATAATTCTTGGTTTTTCACTGGTTACGAAAAACCGACAATCTATATGTTTCGCTCATACTCCGTTCTTTACTTATGGCTTTCTTAGAATCCTGCAGGATAGTCCCGAATCCCAAGAAACCTCGCTTGTCCGGTCCCGTGGGACAACCCCGACTGTCCCGAGAATTTTCTGCATGAGACATTTTTTAAATTTTCGGAACGGGACAATCGAGATTTGGGGCACGTGAAAAGTTTGTCCAGCAAGACTCGAGTTTTTCTTTCTGTCATATTTTGGGGTGGATGCCAGTATTGGTATAGATATCAGTGATGGGATCAGTTAGTTTTTTTTAATCGAAGTCATAAGATCTCAAACCGAGCTGAGACCGTCTCTGATAGGTATTAATTTCATTCATACACGCAATATGCATTAAATTAGATGAAAAATACATGTTCAGACGAAGATGTATCCAATAATTCTATTTTTGTATTTAACAAGGTTTTTTCTTGAGTTTGCACAATAAAGACTGACGATTGTTGTGAAATTTCCTCATTACTTTATTAAGTAAAAGTTTAAAAGATTGTTTAGTATCAGAAATACAATTTCTGCTTTTTCACAGTAAACATTCTGTCATTTTCTGCTTTTTATGGGGTATTTTCTGCTTTTTTCGAACGCCAATATATGGCAACACTGGTAGCAATAACTGCTGAGCACAAGTTTTCAAAAGTGTACAGTTGTGAAATAAGATACGTTTCTTGGAGGCTTCAGTTTTCACTATGAAAAAATCGACATCCCAGAAAGTGTACATTACCGACGAATTCAGGAGAGAAAAATCGTATTCTATCGTTAACAAAGTCAGCATATTTTCCAAGATCCAGACTCCTATCAATACTTTATGCTTTGAACACTAAAATATCGACTGTATTGAGCTGGATTAATTGGAAACAAATCAATGTTACATATGCTAAAACAAGTCACTGCCGATCTAGCGAAGACTATTTCAAAACCCACTTCCGTGACAATGTTTCGTCGAATGAATAGACGCATCCCTTCTGAAGAATGGTACTTTGGACACCTATACCGAAACCAGCGTTAGTCTATAGGTCTCAGAGGGTAATACAAATACATTCGAAGTGCCACTTGTATTCCGACTCAGATAAAACAAATTGAATTCCGGAAAACGAATAATATAATACTTTGGAACGCTGAATTAAGGTGGTAGCTCAAAAGTAGGTTACATACATCTTCTAGAGAAAACAAAACAGCGCATTACACAAGCACACGCTGACGCCAGAGAGACAATGCACCAGAGGACATATGAGAAACTTTGGAAACCACTAATTAGTGGACGACATGTCTGCATAGAACACGCATGTTTCGGTTTGCCAAGCGACTCAGCATTTCCTATCGATATCACCAGGCCACAGTGTGGCGGCGTAGGGAATTTATCAGGAGAACGAATGTGTCGACTACGAGAGTATCGAAATTCACTTGAATATATTGGTGCGCGAAATATGTGCAAGTTTGCAGAGATTGAGTAATACCAAGTGCTCCTCTAATCACTTCTAGTATCCTGGTCCCCATCACCTTTTAGTCACTTGTTATCCTCACAGGTTCTCATTCTGCCTCTGTAATCCGTATTAAAATGTCAGAAATACCTACTCGCATACAATTGTGTTTTTGGCCGTGTTAATTTCTATCGGCATTTCATTGCCTGAGAAATTCGCCTGAAGCTGTGCACTGTCAGTGATCTGGTTTGTTAGTAAAACATCACTTAACTCGAGAAAATGTCCATCGGCTTCATTATCGTCATCCCCATCTTTTATAAGATTGATTGTTTCCCTTGTGGTCGTCAGTAAACTCGGTCGTAGCGGGTCAAAATCATCATCATCATCATGAGATACAATAAGATCATTATTTGGGTGATTATCATGAGAGCTTCGCTCATGATAGCCATTCAAGTCATCTGGCAGTGTCACAGAAAGGAGATCGATCAGTGTACCGACTTTATGCTTGTCTTGCGCGTGCTGAACTCGACCAGCATCGGTGGAGAACGTTCTGTTGCGCACGGAGCAGCAAAATAAATCTCCAGTTTCGGCAGCCTTTTTTTGGTTCTTGCAAACATCGCTTTTGCTTGTCGACAGAACAACTGACTTGTGGTCGACAAATGGGGCATCAAGTAAGTCGCTTGAAAATGGCATTGATAGTTTTGGAGGTTGAGCATCAGGACTGAAATAAATGAAAATTTGAATTAATTTGCATGAATTCTACTATTAGATACAGTAATCTGTATGGTGAACTTCAAAAGAAATCTTAGCATATCCTCTCTATAGGATTCGGCGCAATCTACTAGCTACGTTACTCGATCCTTCAAGAGGAAGCGAAGAAACGAATCTGATTTAATCGATCGGTCAGTAGATCCCAGCAACTTCCGATAAATAGTACGAATTGTATGCCTAAAAGTTTTCCCCAGTACTAGAGCCGCTGGATTCCAGAATCCAATGGATCTATAGTTGGGTAGTTCCACCGGAAATCTCCCACCTTATACAAAAGTATTTCCGGCCATGCCGAAACTTTCAGCAATTGAAGTTCTCAATACCCTAAGACTATCGATAAAAAAATTCCATTGACTTTCAGTCGGCATCGTAGTTTTTCTGAAATCACAAAATATCACTTTTTGGGTGTGGGTGTGGGTGTGGGTGTGGGTGTGAGTGTGGGTGTGGGTGTGGGTGTGGGTGTGGGTGTGGGTGTGGGTGTGGGTGTGGGTGTGGGTGTGAGTGTGGGTCTGGGTGTGGGTGTGGGGGCGT